GATTTTAGATAAAATTAAGACATATTACAATTAATTTAACAAAATTTAAAATTACCTCTAATGTATATGAACGGAATGAATTGAGAGACGATCGTGCTGATACATATTGTAAAATATACTAGTACAAAATAAAGATATATATATATTTTTTTTTTCTTATTGATTTTTGATACACTATATATGTATGTGTTTGTATATATTTGACTAAGTAATAGAAATGTATTGAACCAAAAAAAATAATAAAAAAGATTAACAAAAGACAAAACTTGCCTTTTAAGTAGAAAAGATACTTAGGGTGTGACATGATGGATTAAAAGAAGAATTGAACAAAATTGAGAAAATATTAAAAAGAGATATGAAAAAGCACTTTTAGAAGACAATTATCTATGAATTCAATTTTGTAGAGGAAAATTTCTTCCACTTTTTTTTATACTCTGTGTAATTAAAATAAACGAGTAAATATATATTTTTATTTGATTGGTAGAAGTTTGGAATAATTGTTTTTCTTTTATTTTATTTTCTTCTAAAAAGATATTTCAGTCAGATCTTTAGACAAAAGAAAAGATAGAGATCTCGAAAAGATATACTAGTCGTGACACTTACACATCTACAAAAGTTGATTAGTGGTAAACTTTTGTCAAGTTTTAGAGATTGACACTTGTAGATCAATGAAGTTTGCTAAGTGTTATGATGTTTAATTACCAAATCTTTAACATGTTTTTATTTTAATTCAATAGCCATTCAAAAACAATTAAGAGTGTAAATGGTTGCACAATTAGAGGATTATAATTGGTGGAATTACATATTTCTCTAGAACAAATTTGGTGGAATTTAACATTCCTCTAAATTATTACCATTTTGGTTGAAAAGTTTTGAAAAGTGATTCAACTCATTCTATCCAAAAAAAATTGAAAACATAAACAAATTTGGAGAAAAATATTCTTCTACAAAATAAGAAAAGAACTATTGGAACAAAAATATTAATCATTATTCCACTTCCAATTTTTTCAACTTACATTATTTTACTTTGAAAAAATTACAAAAATACTACTTTTTATGTGCATATTTGCAAAAATACCATTTAAGGGTGTTCATTTGCAAAAATGCCACTAATTATAGATTTTTATACCCTATATCTTAAAATTCTAAACACTAAAAAATGTTTTGACCACTAAACCCCCTTAAACCCTCATAACTAAACCCT